CCTCTTAAAACGGGCTGTTACTATTTAAATGTCATATTAGGCTTCATGAAGTACATTTTAAGGACTAGTTTCTGTATTTGTGAACACCAGCCATCCGGAGTGTCTGGAGATCATTCTGATATAAATTGCAAAAGATTTGGATCCTGTGTGCACTGGAGTTCAAACCATATTAGTAAGAGCTAACAGAGGTATGATATGATGTAAAGGTTTTATCAGTATGAATTTGGGATAGCTGTATTGTTCATGACTGGGGAGACTACAAGTAGGTTATCCAAAAAAAGGGTCCATAAAACCTGCAGATCACATCCTGGTGTATTATGCTTATGTCACCATCTTAACAGAAAAACTTTTAGAAATGTTTTAAATTTAAATAAAAAAAAAAGTTTTTTTTTTGTCCTTTCCCTCTGGTCTGTCTGTACAGCGGGACTCATGGTACTGAGGAAAACCTTTTTTTTTTTTTATTTTTTTTATTTTTTTTTTTTTTTTAAATTTTAAAACATTTCTAAAAGTTTTTCTGTTAAGATGGTGACATAAGCATAATACACCAGGATGTGATCTGCAGGTTTTATGGACCCTTTTTTTGGATAACCTACTTGTAGTCTCACCAGTCATGAACAATACAGCTATCCCAAATTCATACTGATAAAACCTTTACATCATATCATACCTCTGTTAGCTCTTACTAATATGGTTTGAACTCCAGTGCACACAGGATCCAAATCTTTTGCAATTTATATCAGAATGATCTCCAGACACTCCGGATGGCTGGTGTTCACAAATACAGAAACTAGTGCTTAAAATGTACTTCATGAAACCTAATTTGACATATAAATATGAACAGCCAGTTTTAAGAGGAAACACAGTAGGAAATGTCTTATTAAATTACCTTTATTTACATTTTAACTTCAATCTCTTTACAGAAATCTGGCATACCGGAGTTTTCTAGGTCTGACAGGTTTCAGAATGTTGCTCAACCAATGGATAATCCAAACGCTGGAAGACCAGTAAGGCCTTATGAACTAGGACGCTCACAAAGATATATGTAACTACAAGAAAGCTTTATAAGAAAGGGATCATCTATAGAATATTATTCATTATAAAACAAAATTCAGGTTGTTTCTGAAAATCTTATTTTGTTTCCTGATTGATATAGTCCTAATTTTCTTTCTGAAGACTTGATTATGCAGTTGGATAGCTGTTTCTAAATAGTGCCCTAACTGTTGCATATCTGTCATGACAAAAAGATCTTTTGTGTTCATTAAATGCATTTTGTGCATGTGTGACAGGAAAGGCCACATAAGGCCACATGCTCCCCTCCTACAGAAAAACGCATGAGAAGGAAAAAGGTGCTTTTAGGTTAACCTAAAAATCCATGGGAAATCCAACATTCTTCCTTTGAGAGGAGGATCTAGAGTCACATGCAGGGCCGACTCTAGGTTTTTTGCTGCCCCAAGCAGAAAAAATTTTTGCTGCCCCCCCACCGCCCCAGCCCTTCTCTCTTCCTCCCCCTTCCAACTGCACCCTCCTGCCGCCCCAACCCTGGGTCACTGGTAACTCGCTCCCAGGGTGGGTCATTCAGCAGGAATTTTGGATGTGCACAGAACACAGACAGGATTGGTTCCCATACGGTTACAGAACTGCAGTAAAGTGGAACAATTTTCAGCTTGTGTGATTGAAGGATATCTGGATGCATATTATAAGACTGTCCTACATAAATGAGGAAAAGTTGAGGTGCCTTTATTATCCTTTTGTTCCATTCTTTGTTTCTATGGGGAATTTGCCAATGCAATATCACTGTCTTCCTTTTAAACAAATAAAACTAAAACTTAAAAAAACTAATAGTAAAAAAAAAGCAATGGCTATTGAAAATAGAAATTCCAGTTCTAATAACCACTGGGAAGC